ATGCCTTCGCTTTTCGGCCAAACCCTAAGACAGGGGAAGCCGAAACCAGGTCGGCTGGCCAGGTCGCTGTCATTTCTGGCACATGTCGACTCTTAGAATCTCTTAGATTAGACGCATTAATAACCCTCCTCCTAAATATGAAGAGGTATAGTTCATTCCATGGGGAGGCTTCCATGGTTTGCTTGGGCTTCGAGCAGGAACAAAGAGGTGGCAAGCCTGGGAAAGCCCATGTGTCTTGGCAGACCGATGAACTGAAGCGGTCGTAACTCAACAGACCACAGGCAGCGACCGCCGCGATGCCAGAGGTGACGGGCTACGAGACGGGTGAAGAACGAAATGCTGCGGAAAGAACGGCTGAGAGATCGAGGAGAGAATCTGAGACGCGAGAGCTACGAGACATTCAGCTGCCTGGCAGCTTGTCCATGAGGTTTGGCAGTTGGTAGCCTGTAAGAATGGTTGTTCAAAGATTGCACTATTGAACTGGGAGTTTTGGGGTTGACCTCGGAATCAGTTTCCATTCTGGGCTATATGCTCTGTTAAATTTGTCGTTGCAATTCGGGAGCCCTGGAGATGACGCCAAAAGTTGAACATGTTTGGTGAACTTAACATCCTATTCGGAGCCATTTGGCCCACCCCCAACAGGAGACCTTTGCTTGTTTTGCATGCTTTTGAACACAAGAAACGGCAGGTCTTCTGTGGTCTCCTATGCGCAATAGATGGCTTCCAGCAAATGGATCTTACATTTGGAGAGATGCGTTTTATATTTTGAGCATCACGCAAGACAGGGGATGAAGCATGCACCACGCTTGAGCTTAGCAAAACTCTCATATGGCGTTGTGATCCATTCCATCGTATTCAGACACGTAAAGCTATCGCATACCTTCCTTCGGGGATAGCCCATCAAGAACCTAGACGGCCAGATGGGCTTTTGCGCCCTTGGTTGGTTGATCAATCGAGGACAGAGGGGATACCCCCCCGTCGTGTACAACCAAGTTCAGTATATGGTACCTAGCACTAACCCCTCTATGATTTCCCATCTCTCGCACCGACAAAAAAACAGACACGACGCCCCCACGAGTGATCTGCCGTTCCCTCGAGTGAGACTTCGCCGCGGAGCGGACAATGCGACAGACAGAGCTGCGGCAAAAGATCCTCTGACGGACATGGGTGGAACTGTGGCTGGAGAGATGGGGGTAGAGATGGCGGAGAGGTGTCTCACACGAGTGGAGACAACATGAAGAACATCGATCGATCCTACAGGTCAGGGACTGACCTCATTTCTGAAGTTGATCATACAGAAAGACTCATTACAAAAACTGCTGGTTTTCAGGACCAGGCTTTACTTGGTCAGACTGGACCTGATAGGGTATAACGGTATATCAATCCTTCCTTTCTACACTCGAAGCAAAGTCACTATGTTTGATCTATGTCTGAACTCTTCACCCGGTGACAAGGCTTGTCTGACAAGGTTCCACTTTCAGTGAACACTGCGAATGACGTGTTCCTTTTCAGGTGCCTTGGACGTTCGGTCTTGGGCCGGAACTCCACCGTGGTTTGACGGTAAACGCTCTTTCTTCGGTGTTGGGTCTGTCCGAACGGATCCTGGTAGCAGGACCTTCGGCTTGAAGCTCTCACTCTTTGGGGAGATGGAAAGGCCTGGTTGCCCAGGCCCCATCATCTACTTGGGTGTTGGTGGCGGATAGACCTAACCTCCTTCTGTTCTTTCTCTGTTTCCCCCCCCCAAAAGAACGGCCTGGCGAGCCGACCGCCCTCGCTCGCTCGAAGCGGCCGGTCCGGTCGACGTCCGGTGTGCGGTGTTTTCAGCCATAGGACGCATAGGACGCATAGGTTCACTGCCTTCCGGTGTGGTGACGTTGTTTTTGGGGCATTTTGGGGCATGCATTTGGTTTGGCCTGTACCAGGACCTTCCAAGAGGTGTCTATAAATAGGCTCTTAGGGGTGAGTCAGGGAGTCCAAAAACCACCGAACTGGAAGGTCCTGGTGTTGATTTTCTAAGCATGCTGCTGCTGGACCTCCCTCCTCCTCTCCCCCCAGCATACTGCCATGCCCAACATCTAATCCGGGTGAAAGAAACCAGCCACTTCTTCTTCACCAAACAGCCATCGGATCCGTGGCGAGAATTTTGGAAACTAATCCCTAGGCTTTTGTTCGACCATTTAAACCCATGGTGAACCTGGTGACTGGTGAAATCCCATAGTGAAGCTACGCTTGTTCGGGATTCGGGATTCCGGCTATGATGTATAAATGAATAGTGGTTGGAAGTTTGACGCCTGTAAAAAATGGCACATCACCGTCGTTTCTCTCTTTTTTCTTCAATAAGACCTCCCTCGAGTTATGGGCGCGGCGCGGGGGTCGGCGCGGAATGGGCGGAGAGTTGTTGGTCGCCGGCTTCCGCCCTTCGTTCTGCTCGAAGCTGACGCAATGTTTGGAATCCCCATGCTGTGATGTGACATGGAGTTCGGTGAGGCCTGAAAAGCTGACGGCCTGAAAAGCTGATGAAACAGATGAAACACACTCCCAGCAGTCCCTGGATGTTTTTGTTGGCACCTACTTGGCTTCTGGGCTGCCGATGGCGCGTGCGAAGCACCATCCACTTGCGAATAGTCCAAAGACCACCTTCAATCAACGACCGAACAGATTCCTGCCAAACATTTGAACGAATTGAACTCTCTTTTTGGAATCGCCACATTTATCCCTCAAGAGATAGAACTACTGTTCGAACGGACACACAAACCAGAAAACATAGAAGCCCAGCACTGTGAGGCCATAAAGCCCGCTTCAGATCAGATTGCTTAGCACGTCATCTCGCTGTCATGGCGGATGCTTTGCAGCGGGGACACTCAGAAACTGTGCCCAGCTCGGTGAAAGTACACAGTGCCCAGCTACGCAAAGGCCTGCTATGTTGCCAAACGAATGTGCAGAATCTTGGTCGTGTCCATGGTGAAAAGTGCTTCTTTGGTGCAGGGTGGATCGCTTTACTTCAATGAGGGGTTTACTACGAGCCCCCTTACTGTCCCCCGAGGATGAGCTCTATATGACTCTATGATATAGATGGTTCAACTCTGCACCCTGAAGATGTCCAACTCGAATGGCATCACTTCGAATGGCCGGTCCTCTTTCAGGCCGGGCCTGGAGCCCTGGACGGCCGGTCCTGTGGGCCTGCAGCGAAGATGACCATCCAATCATGCTGAAGGGATCCTCCTGAAATCTGAGATGCGACCAAGCAATCCAAGCATCCTTCCCGACCTCTGCACCACCACACCACCTACCCACCTACTCACCACTCATCACCTACTCACCACCCATCACCTACCCACCACTCACCTACCCACCTACCTACCTACTTACCCATCACCCATCACCCACTTCTTCCATCTCCTTCTCTGCATCCTCTCCGCTGTCAGCTGGGACCGCATGGAGCCGGTCACCGCGGACCGCCGGGAGCCCGTGACCGGAGGAGGCGCCGGACTCGGTCGCCCGTGGTCCGGTCCGCGCGGAGCCGCATCTGGTTGCGCCACCAGTGGTGAGGTTTACGGCAAGCCATCTGGCCATCTGCAGATCAGATTGTTTCATGATGGTTTCCAGGTTTTTGTCAAAGTTTCTGTCCAATCACAGTGTCTAAGCATGTCTTAAGCATGTCCATAGGTCCTCGCAAAAAGAGGCGGTTGATATTAATATATAATGGGGATGAATTATGGGGTGATTCATTCCAACAGGGCTGATCCATGCGGGGACTGGTAAATGTGTGGTCCAAAAAATGGCTCACCAATCATCATCATTTGGGTGTGTATTAATGTAGGGAGACTTCCCAAAGACCCCCTGGAAGAAGGGGAACAGATCAGTCTACCCATCCTGGGTGATCGGGTGTCTCCCCATTCATTTGGACTCACCCAACTGAATCCAGATGTTCATCCCAACACGATCCTCCCTTGCGGCTGACAGCCGCCACTCCACGGCACGGGACCGTTTGTCGTGGCCAGGAGCGGGATCTGCGGAGCCCATTTCCATTGATCGCTCCATGCTCGGAACGTGGTGAATCGGGGAAGGGGGGTAGATGGTCGCAGAGCGTCTGAGACCATCCGGACCATCCATCAATTAGGACTATGGGAAATTCTATGATATCTCTAAGAATCAGATTAGATTATCTTGGACCGATCACATGCATGAAATCATCATGGTGACGCGGAAGGGGGGTATATACTATATGGCCCCCAACTTGATGACCATGAGATCGGGTTCGACCTGCCTGTGTAGAAAAAAGCTGTTCTAATTTTATGACTTTCAATGGATTGATGTTACTTCTCGTTGCACCCATGGTCGAACAGATCAGATCCAGGTCGTGCAGATCGAGGACCCACGCTCGGCTCGTCATCGGCTCGTCATCGAACCGGTGCAGATCGCCACGGTGGATCGACGACCACCGAATGGACGGTTCACATGGCCAACTGGGTCGTCTGGGGATGAGGGGTCTGGGTTTTGACCCACAGTCGTGGTATTGTCGTGTTTCTTTTTTGTAAAACATGTGAATTGGGTGGCAATCCGCCAAAGGGGCCTGGGGTAGGCCAGATGTGGGAAGATCTGTCCAAAGTCTCACTTTCATTCGTTTCCATGAAAGACGATGTGCCTGGTACTTGAGATGCACAGGAGGTCAAGCTCACACACATCGAACACTCGCACTGTATCCTGTATCACCAAAAAGAACCTGGACAAATGTGCCAAGCCTTTCCCGATCTGTTATAGCATCTAAACTCGACCAACAGTTGTAAAAACAACTTATTATCACACCACTTCAACATTTGATGCCGTATAGCAATGGGCAGAGAGTCATCAAATGTCCATATATAGTTTGGGTATCACCTACACACTCCCTGGAACCATCCATGGAGCATGGTCCCTTGCGAAGAACATGTTCCTCTACAAACAGGAGATGAGCTCCACTCCTATATGACACTTGCTATTTGTTCGTCGCAGTGCATCACCCCAAATCCCACAAACAACTAAGACTAAGCTAGAAGACACATGAGCGCCCGGGAAGATGAACATGGAACCGGGCTTGGACCGGACTGGGAAGACTTCGCATCCTGCGCAAAGCCCGGTTTTCAGGATGTTTTCAGCTTCCAAGATCTTCCAGGTGGGTCTTCCATGTGGTCTACATCTTCCAATCCCCGCGGACAGCACCCACCCGGACAGTTCTGTGAGTCGCCCAGCGAACCGCGAATCGCGCGATCTCCCAGGCCGCCTCTTCCGCCGTCTTCGGAAGCCGAAGGCGGTGCTCAGGGGGTGGGCGGCGGCTTAAAGGGTTGGTACCTGGACCTTCCTGTCAGGGTGGACAGAGTTGAGAAGCAAATTGAGAAAGTTGAAGAAAGTTTTGGAATTTGGAGAGAATAAGAACTTGAAGAAAAGATAGACTTACTTCAAGATTACGCCAGTAGAATTCACAGTGGATTGATTCAGAATGGAGGCTTTGCAGAGAGAGAGAGAGAGAGACAGAGAGAGAAACAGCAAATACACAAGCTTTTCTCAGCTATGACATCTTGAGTGAGATCAATGCAGGGAACTTCTTAGCCAGAAGGAGTTTGGAGGCTATGCAAGCTACAGAAGGTATGAGGGACACAGAGTAATGCTAGAGGCAGCCAATGAAGGAGCACATCCATGAGAAGGAACCCAGTCTGGAAGAAATGAACAAGCCTGCAGAGAAACAAGAACTGAATGGAAGAAATGGGTGTTGGTGGCAAAGTGAGCTCAAAGAAGCATCTTAGAGTTTCAGAGTGCCAAGAAGGAGTGCGAACCATTTTCCATGCAGACCACAGTCGAGATTCACAGCATAACCAGCATCATGAAGTATGCATGAAACCACTGCGCAGCCCTTTTGTGAATCAAGAAAAGGTGCGTAATATCAGTTGTTAACACATCTTAACACCTGGATCAAGTAATGAATGAACTTTCGTCTCAGTCTCACATGAGAAACATAGTTCATTATCATTCACTTCGCAAAAGGAAACATCCCGTAAGAATTATAGTGGACTTCTGCGTTTGCTCTGGACAATTCTTTCATTGAAGTGGGTCGGTTGAAGCCGGTTGAAGGTCCTAATGTAGGAGAACCTAATATTATAGGGGCCCTAGATTTTAAAACGGCGAACCTATATAGTATATTTAGGACCCGTTCTAAGCAAACCTTGAATTCCTGGAGTCGACTTCCCCTAAACCATTCACGGGACGCCTAGATCACATGTGGCCTTGACATGCGTTTCCATGTGGTTTTGACATTGGAAACGCTGGAACCGGTTCGGCACTTAGTGGATGAAACAAAAGCAGTCAGGCCCGCTTTTTGGAGGATCGCTCGTCAATACCCAGCAGCTGGCCATTTCAGTAGGGTGGGATCTATGGTGATAGTGACTTACATATATCCTGAACCTACATTTGTAGCACTTGTTGGCGGGCACGCAGAAGATGAAGAGGGATCTGAACGCAACAAGATTGGTTTCACTCACGCACTTCGCGCGAACCATGTGAAGGACAAGGCTGTTGTTGCAACATTCTATTCTTGTCCACTTGAGTTGCCGTGCCGTGGCAGATTGGTGAAGTTGCAGTGTGTTTGAAGAGCGGCACAATGGTCAAAGAAACTGCTGTAGTCTGGCAAGCAGATGCTGGGCAATGTTTTCTACAGGCGTTGATCTGGGAACCCACATCAAGCGGCCAGCATGGAATAGCAAATGATTTGAGTTTGGCAGATGTTGGGCGATGAGGGTGAACATTGGTTGCCCTAAGACTTAGCTTAGGCTTGGGTGAACAGCGGGTCTTGAAAACCTACACTCCCTGGCATCATCATAGATGTAGAGTGAGTTCACACCACTTGTTTGGTCTTGGGATGGATTTCATGCCTCATCCGAAGAAAAACAGGGGTCATCTTCCCTGTCTCATCCAGGTGTGAGGATTGCCAGTTTTCGTGTCTCCTAGCCCCAAGAAGACGGAGACCTGAAGTTCCCCCCAAGCGGACCAAGCACCGTATTCTCGTCTCCACCACCTGATTTCGCGCGGCGTTTGCGCCAGTCTGCTGGGCCGAAGACCTTGGCGACGGAGCCAACGTCCTTTCAGCCTCCACGAGAGGCAGGTGGCGGATGGATGAGGGTACCTATGGCCCTATGGCCTATGGCTCTCTTTCTTCGACGAAAGCCATGTTTTTGAATGACTTTAAAGGGCGCCCTCAGTGTTTCACCTAGCTTTGGGGAGCAAAAGATGTAGGGCATGTTGGACTCACAGTGGACCTGAGTCCAAGCAGCTCACGGGCAGGCGTATGTGGCATACATTGGCATATGCAATTTTGTGTGTTCGCTGAAAACTCTTTGGTTTTTGATGTGTACTTCTTATACCTTAGGCCTTAGGGTTTCTGGTGCCGTGTTCCAGGATCACCTGACGGCTTCCTTTCTTTTCCTACAGAAAGGGCTCCTCGTTGGATCGAACCGAAGGGCGAGGCTCGGAAGGGGCGCGCCCTACCTGGCACACAAGAGGGCTGACACGTGCTGAGTACCACGGATATGTCGTTCGGGGAACATCGGGCAAATCTTCGTCGCACGTGAACGGTGGACCAACATCGACCATGGATTTTGGGCCGGACATTCATCTGGACAAAGAACATAAAGAACCGGCTTGCGTTCTTGTTTTGAATAAGACCCAGGACCCATCGAATGATCCCCACCAAAACAAACACTGAGTGCCTAGCAGAAGAATCGCACAGATGGGACTCAGCGAACAACGAATTCACCTCTTCGCATCCTTTCGCAGCGGGACTTCGACCCCTTATTTTTCATTCCGTTTGATCAGGGGTCGACTTAGCGGACTTCGACCCCTTCATTCCAGAGTATTTCATGGACTTCCCACCGAACCACCCTCGTTTTACGAAGGCTTTCACACGACACACGACCCAAACATGACACACTCTGACATTGGTTTTCAGTGACTCAGTTACCACGTTGGGAA